GGTATATGTTGTTTTACAAAACAATTAATTAAGCAAAAACAATTAAAAACATAAGCAAAAATTGAACTCATCATGAACGACACCGTTTTTTCATAAAATTGGCCCGTGAAATTTTAAGGCCCAATTTATAAAGCCCAGAATCTTCACCTCTTTTAAAGCCCTTAAAGCAAAAAAATCTTTGTTTGAGAAGAAGAGTTAAGCCAGTCATGGAAGTCTCAAATCACGCCAGAAAACGGAAAGCAATCGACGCCGGAAACAACTCGCCGCCGTCATTACCTCCGGCGTATCAAAGCTCAGACGGATACGAGCCTAACTCCGTAGATCTTTCTCTCCTTGAAGCACTTGAGAAATCTTCGCAAAATCCAGTAGAGGCGGTTGATGTTAAAACCCTAAAAAAGCTTGTCCTCTCCTTCGAGCGTCGTCTTAGAGACAACATAGCTGCTCGGCTCAAGTATGTGGAAAATCCGGAGAAGTTCGCAGACTCTGAGGTTGATCTACACGATGATTTGCAAAAGCTCAAGGTTCTCGCTGGTGCTCCGGAGCTTTACCCGGAGCTTGTTGCTTCCAATACGGTTCCGTCGATTGTGAATCTCCTCTCTCATGACAACGTCGATATCGCGAACGATGTTGTTCAGCTTCTTCAGGATCTGACTGATGAAGATGCATTAGAGGATAATGACGAGCCTGCGCGTGTGTTAGTCGACGCGTTGGTTGAAAACAATGTGCTCGAGCTCTTGGTTCAGAATATGAATCGGTTATCGGAGGCAGATCCAGATGAGGCCACGGCTATATATGCAACCTTGACGGTGATTGAGAATTTGGTGGAAGTGAAACCTGCGGTTGCTGAATTGGTTTGTGAACGGACGAAATTATTACGGTGGCTTCTGGTGAAGATTAAGGTTAGGGAATTCGAAGGAATCAAGCAGTACGCGTCTGAGATTCTGGCGATTCTGCTGCAAAACAGCACGGCGAATCAGAAACGGTTAGGGCAAATGAATGGTGTTGATGCTGTGCTTGAAGGTGTGGCGATGTATAAGTCGAAGGATCCTAAAAGTCCTGACGAAGAAGAGATGTTAGAGAATCTGTTTGATTGTCTGTGTTGTCTCTTGATGCCATTGGAGAACAAGGAGAGGTTTGTGAATGCGGAAGGAGTTGAGCTGATGATTATTATCATGAAGCAGAAGAAATATGCTTACGGATCTGCAATTCGGGCTCTTGACTTCGCCATGACCAATTATCCTCCTGCTTGCGAGAGGTTTGTTGATGTTATGGGACTGAAAACAGCATTTGCTGCTTTCATGGGTAAGGCAAGTTTCTCATTCCCAGTTTCTTTGTCTCTAATGGTTTAATACATCTTCCATTAGAGCTAATTGTCTTTAGAAAATGCTTGGATAGATCAAAATTATGTGAAAGAGGCGACTCTGAGGCATACTTGCATAGTGATTGTATTTGGTTTTTTGTAAATGTTTAGATTCCACTAAACAAGAGGATCAAAAGGGAAAGGTATAAGGAGGAGCTAGAGGAGCGGGTTATTTCGCTGATTGCGTCATTATTTGGTAAGAAGGCAAGTGATTTGTTGATGTAAAAATAATGTGTTCTGCTTACATGTTCGTGATGCTAATTCATTGGTTTCTTGATGCTATAGCTGGGATTTTAAGGGGATCTAGAAGAGACCGTTTGCTAAGCAAGTTTGTTGAGAGTGAATACGAGAAGATTGACCGTCTTATGGAACTATACATGAGGTAACATTAGCGTTTCTTTGTGATTAAAGAGTCAGCATTCCTTTGTGATACCTTAATTATATATCTAGTGTAGTGGTGGAATGTAATTACAACTCACCAGTACTTATCTCAAAGTTTTGTCTTTTGCACTCGGCAGATACTCTGATAGGGTTAGATCAGAGGCTGAGAGGTTAGACCAACTTGAGCTTGATGACCTTGAGGTAATTCACTTTATCTCACTAATGTGTATTTATTTTTCACATACTGAGTTTCAATCTGTTTATGAGCTGATTCCACTGTTTTACTTTCCAGTTGGATGAAGATGAAAAATATAATCGGAAGCTAGAATCAGGCCTCTACAGTCTTCAGGTTTGACTAAGTTTAATTAATCAAGTTTCATATCCGTATATATGTGCTACATGAAGCACTTAGTTACGCCTCTACACTTCGTTTTAACAATGATCTTTTTGTTCTTAATCCTGTGCACTATTTGCTCTGAAATTGCAGCTTATTGCTGTCATTCTGGGCCATATTTGGTGTTCCGAGTAAGTCCTTCCCTCTATAACATCAAAATTAGTTGCATTCCTAAGCTTAGGTTTAGTCATACTAATTTATGATCTATACTTTATGTAGGCATTCTGGAATGAGAGCACGTATCGAGCTGCTGTTGAAGCAACAGAAGCTTAGTAAAAACGACGTCAAGGAGATACTTCAGGTTCTCTTTCTCTTATCTAACTTGCAAGTCTCCACACCAATTAATTAGTGACTTGACTTGATATGGAGAAAACTATTAAACAATTTGATTCACTGAAAACAACCACTGGCTAGCTACTAGTAGAATTTAGAGATATTAGTTAGTAATTCAGAGATTCCATTTCCACATTGTTTCATACAATCTTGTGTTACTTATATTCTTTGTGACCCATTTTCTTATATTTCGTTGTTGTTTGCATTCACTAACATAAACCCTTTATAGGAATATCATGACAACATAGGAGATCTTGAAGGACCGGAGGAGAAGGAACGAGGACAAGCAAGAATTCAGCTGTTCATATCGGCTTTGTGATTTAGAGAAAGAAAGAACGAACATGGAAAAAAATTCATCTCCGAGGGTTTAAGTGAAGAGCAACAAATCCATTATTGGTCACAAACTAAGGGACTCCTCCTTTTGTGTGTTTTTTTTTAGTATTGTGACCTTCGATCGATTTAGTTTACAAACAAATTTTGCCAAGAGTATTATATTCAGGTGCATCTTCTTTCATACTTGGCATAGAGATTGTTGATTTGCAAATGTTCAAATTTAACTTTACAACTCTATATTAAGTTTCCTAAGTTTAGAATCTCCAAACAAGTGGACGTGCCGGAGTGGTTATCGGGCATGACTAGAAATCATGTGGGCTTTGCCCGCGCAGGTTCGAATCCTGCCGTTCACGTCTTTTTTTAAATTCCATTATATTTTCCCCACACGTGCGAAAATGAAACCACGCGTGCTCCACTCGTCCCTTAAACGTCGCCGTTACCAGATCTCTCCAGAACACACAGTCATATCTCTCCAAAATTTTAAACGCGTTCAAGCAGAATCCCTTCCTCTCTCTCTCTCTCTTGCTGAAAATGGCGAACTCGAGAACTGTTTTGATCTTGTGCGGTGACTACATGGAAGACTACGAGGTCCC